TGAGGGTATTTCATTAAGATATACTAACAACGATTTTACAATTACACCCAACCTTTCTAAAATTGCCAATATCTCTAATAAATAATGTTTATTTACATCAAAAGGGGGGGGGGGGGGGGGGGTACTGATACTAAATATCAAACTGATATAGTAAGGAGCTAGTGAAAGTAGGATTGTGGGATGTATCCTAAACCTGCATCCATCAGAAAATGTTATTTGGTGCCCTTCCAGTGAAAACAATGAAGCACACAAAATTACAAAGTTACCATTTTTATTTACAATCAAGGTTTTTAAATCAGGGTGTTCAAAATTCAATCATGCAAAAAGCAATTACTAAATTAAATGTAAAATATTAGAGAAACTGGAATAAAAAAAAAATGCTCGTCTGAGAGAAGGCCTGTTTTCAGCTCCCGCAGAGAGCCTGGCTGATTGTCAAATCTTAGGAGGAGCAGGTGGATTTAATCCTGGCTGTGGAACAATAGGGCAGCTCCATGCTGTCTGTAAGGTGCTGGAGGGTTCGTGGGAGTTTGTCCTACTGGTCCACATGCGTGTACCTGGAAAAGGCATTAAACCGTGTTTCCTTGTGGTGCACTGTGAGGGGAGTATGGAGTGACCGGCCCTTTACTAGGGGCCATTCAGCCTCTCTAAAAGTGGAGCAGGAGTTGGGTCCTCTATGCCAGCATTAAATCTGACATTTTATCAATAAATGGTGCACTCTAGCAGGGTTGCCCTATGTCACCAGTTCTGTTCAAAAACATCATGGACAGGATCTCTAGGTCCAGCCGAGGACTGGAGGGGTTTGGTTTGGGGACCAGCAGATTGAGTCCAAGCTTTTTCCAGATCATGTTGTTCTACTAGCTCACTCCTAGACCTACAGAATGCACCAGGGCATTTCACAGACGAGTGCGAAGCGGCTGGGATGAGAAGCAGCCCCTACAAGTCCGACTGTTAATCGTGGCATGTCCCCTTCAGGTTGGTGAAGAGTTACAGCCTCAAGTGGAGATGTTTAAGTATCTTGGGGTCCTGTACACGATTGAGAGCAGAATTGAGTGGACCATCGATAGATTAATCAATATGTCTGCCTCTATAATGCAGGTGCTACAACGGCCTGTTGTGGAGAAGAGAGAGCTGAGCAAGAAGGCAAAGCTCTCAATATACCATTCGGTCTACATTCCTACCCTCATCCATGATCATGAAACCTTGATCATGACCAAATAAACAAAATCCCAAATACAAGCAGCTGAAATGAGCTTTCTCAGGGTGCCCAGACACCGACTTGGAGAAGGGTTGAGGGGCTAGGTCATCCTGGTGAAGCCCAGGGTAGAGCTGCTCCTGCTCCACATCAAGATGAGCCAGTTCAGATGCCCCCATGAACATCAGTTTTAGGTACGTCCCAATAGGAGGCGAACCATTAGGTTACCCAGAACTCTGAAGGGACTGCTATCAGGCTTACCCCAGGCTGGAGGAGGTGTCTGGGGAGAGGGAAATCTGGATGTCTCTGCTTGGACTCCTGTTCCCACCACCTGGTCCCAGATAGAGGATGAGTACAATTCGAGTGCAATACTCTATATGACAGATACATTATATTACTGGATTTATGAGAATGTAAAAACTTATTTTAAATCATCTAAGAAATGTATTTTTTTTTGTGTGTGACAAAGTGTTTAATGTGATGTCTTTGGGCTTTGATTCCATATTTTATGAAATTATATATGATGGTATATCAAAGAGTTGCCTATTTAATCACAGAATTTTCATCTGATCTTTACTAACAATATATTTGTCTGATTTTGTTCAAAGACATTAATGTTGCTTCATTTCCAGTCAGCCCTTAGGGTCTCACAGTTAATCATTAGTCAACTAAATTGTGTACAGTAAAAATGAAAATATTTTAAACACTGATCATTATCCTTATCAAGATGTTCAGTTGTTTTTTTTTTTTATCAGGGACGTCAAATGTAAAAAAAAATCACTATTGGAAGAAAATATAGCTGCCTTCTATAAATTGCGTAGTTTTAAATTGTCCTGCTGCAAACTTGAGCAAAATAGGATCACCCTTTTGTCTATTATATAATTTCAAACTAAGCACAATTTTAAAATGTTAATGTTAAAAATTCAAAAGCTTGTAGAGTTTCTCTTTCTTGACTCCCCATATTATATGCAACTCTCACATTTATGCAGCACTGAAAAAGACTCCTTCATAGGTGTCGAAACGTTTTCAGAACAACAGAGGGAAAGGTTGCCCCCAAGTTAAGCCTGATCTTTGGTTGATATGAACTGGATGACTAAGTTACAGAAACTGAACCAAACCACACTATACTCCAGAAACAGAAACAACAAAATGTGTTTTGCAAATGGGGAAGTTGAAGTATTTGAAACCCAAACAAAGCACCCAAACAATATGCAATAAACTTGAAAATGTTTGGTTTTAGCAGCTAAAACACGATTTAAAAATCTGCTTTTCAGAAAAAGCAAGCACAGTTTTAAAATGTTTCAAAAG